GGATTTATTAATTATATTGTACAGTAACCTTTTTAAATGAAATGGACCATAAAACATGTATCGATCCATATTCTCATCACAACTGCTTTGCTTCGACAAAAATATAAGTCTGCCTTTTAATTAGTTAAACTTAGACTGCTAAACTACAACGCTGAAGAAGACGAGGACCCAAAGGAGTTTAACTCACCTCTTTGCTCTATCGAGCCCACGAATGCTTTAGAAGAAGAAGATCAGAAAGAGGAGGAAAAACGGGAAGGCGACCATGAAACTCTGATTCCCATGGAAAGCGCAAGTAAGACGTCAATCAATTTCCAGTTTCATCGCGATAATTTCTTTTTGCAGGCCCATCTACTGTGATCTCCTTGTCACCTGTACCGCCAAATATGCAACCATCACCCATTCCTGCTGAAGAAGAGATTGTCATCAGCAAAACTTCGCAATCGATCTACTTGGTGCGAAGAATATTTTTCTGCCTTTTCTTCATCATGTACTTGATTGCTCTGCCTGTTTGCCTTATTTAACATGATAAATTCAATAAACGTTTATTGGTTCAGATAATTTCTTAATTAAAGGTAAAGGATTTGATAATCTTTCATGAACTGGTTACCCATGTTAGGGTAAACAAGTTTTGAAGGATTGGAAATTTTTGTAGTATGGGACTAAGATATATTAAAAAGGGTAATAGAAAGGGTAAAAGGGTAAATAGGGTAAAAGGATCTCGCAGCGTTATAACTGACAAATTTCATTACTCCAAGCTCACCAGTTTTGTATGTAGGAGTGGAAGTAGTAAGAAATAGTTCAATCCGTTAACAACTGACTGTGAGTCCCGAGATTTCGATCTCGGCCAAAAGTGAAGGCAAGTGGATGCACCAGTGGCTATGTTGAATAATAAAACTAGAGGCTTATATTAATGCCATAAGAGTGGTAGCTTGGTAACTACAAAAACATGGAGCCTCCTACAGCCTTCAAGCAGCAGGACATCTTATACGAATTAGTTTATTAACATGTGCATTAGAAAAGATCACGTTCTTCTTTTGGAAATATTGTCTCCAAATTGAGGTAACCAAGATTGAATACACGTCTTGCGATACCGCCTGGAGAGATGTAGGAATTTGGAATGTAGAATTTCACTTTCCTTTGTCCTGGCTGAAGAGAAGTGTTTGAAAACGACTGTACGTAATTGAATAATAAACTTGCCAAAATTCCATCGTCACAGTCGTGATAGATCTTCAGCACAGGATCAATATTTGTTAGCTCGCGTTCGGAACCCTGCAAGTTTCATGTTTTTGGCAATAGCATCAAGATGTGCCCAAAAATTTTACATCTAAACTCATCTGCTAGTTTAATTCTCGGTACTATGAGTATGTAAGTAGAACTAACTTTGCAAATCCAAAAAAAAAGAGTTTGTATGACAATCAACCTGTATGGTTAGTCTACTTTATTGACTCCTAAAATTTGACAG